GTTGGTTTTTCACAACCTAGACGAAATTCCGTCTAGGTTGACTCAATATAGATGGAATTCCGTCTAGGTTACCTTTTTTCCAGCAAAAAAAAATTAATTACAATTTATACTTTCCTGTACAATTACATTAATATTTGAATACAAACTAGACGGAATTCCGTCTAGATGAACTAATCTAGACGGAATTTGAATCAACCTAGATGGAAATTTCCGTCTAGGTTGATCATTTTTCTACTAGTGGTTGTGTTTGGCAAGAAAGACATGTACCAATTTCTCCGGTCTCTGAAGGTGAGGAATTTGGTGCATGTGTTGGCTTTTGTACATGGACGATGTAGGCTTGAGGATATGTTGTGTTGCTTCCATGGATTTCAAAGAGAAAGGAAGAGAGTAAGAAGAACGAAACAAAGGTTAGATGAGAGAAATTGACGGGTTTGTGAATCTCCATTGAAGTGGATATAGACCAATGTGGAAGACTGTAGCATAGATCAGGTTATATAGAATCATTGACAAGCTCAGGTTCATAACTGTATCAAAGATTTACTTGTTGCATTGTGTACTATGATACGTAAGGAGCAGGGATCCAATGTTCATGAAAATTTTGCTTTAGGAGAAAAGAGGAAAAAAGCTGGAAATAATGTGTGCGTACATGTACACGATAGGAGCATCCTATGGGTGAATAAAGCACGAACAAAATGACTGTAGCCCTGTCTTCTCTTTTAGTTAAGTTTATTGTTCATTAGAAACCAACTCAGTAATTAGAAGCCTCCTATAACTTTAAAAATATGAGAAATCCCCCCTTTACTTTAGCGTTTATCAAGAAGACCCCTTAGCTTTAAGATTTTATTAGAAACCCCTTTTAAAAGCGTGAACCGCAATTTTCATTGAAAAAAACAACCCCATGCATGCTAAAGGGGGTATTCTGACTACCCCTAAAATTAAGAGGGCCTTTCTGATATTTTGCAAGTTATGGAAGGTTATGTAATAATATAACGTTTATGATGTTTAGCCTTTACTCTCACTTGTCTAATGATGAGGAAATGCTTGTACTTATGCTGATCAAAGATTTTGATCATGATAGGATACTGTTTCATTTGCATGTCTATGAAACAATGAAGTTGAGATAGCATGGCAAGGGGCAGTACCGCGCATCTCGGTGTTCCTATGCCAGAGCCTAGAACAAAGCATCTCTCTTCTAACAAAAAAAAAAATGCATTGCCTCGAGATATTGGCACATGAAAGTGATGATCATAATCCAATGATAACATGAACATATATAGCAATCATATTATAAAAATAATTTTGGACTAGATACACCAATGCCCCTTTGGGAACATGCTCAATATATAGATATTTTCGTAAAGCACATTATTATACTCATAAGCTTCATTCTTCATCTTGATAGAGTATACGTACAGATATTTTTTCACAAAAAAAAAAAAATAAAAAAAATAGAGTATACAGATATCAAGACCGTTGTAGTTTCCAATAATATCCACCACTAGAATCTCTACGGGCACTATATCCACCGCCACTACTGCTTCCACCTCCACACCCACCACCGTCTTTTCTGCCAGAACCGTGACTGCGGCAGCTTCACCACCTCCGTAGCCCCCCGCCACCACCATAGCCACACAGCCATTGGAGGTCAGATTCTTTATGGTCTTTGTTGATTCCTTTTGTTTTGATTTATCAAATGTGGTATTTTTTAGTTTTTTTTGTCATATGCTTTATATTGATTTGTTCATCATCAGATGGGAAACACTCAAAGTTTTCCAACAATCAAACTTGATTAGATTTAACCTATCCAATTAACCTTCAATCTTGTCCTCTTCAAATTTAGAAAGAGCCAGAGAGAAAAGGAGCTACATGTTTTCCTCTGTGCGTGTGTGTGATTTTTTTTTTATTGATCACATCTTAAGACTGAAAACTGCAAAAACTTAGAAATGAAATCAACTACTTAATCTGAACCCAAAGAAAAAAAAGTTTTTTGGCGGGATTGTTGAAGGTGCAAGTTAGCAGGCGAATTTCATCTTGCTAACGTGCGCCCCACCTTGTTTCTACATGAGGAAGAAGAAGAAAATTAGCAGAGGGATCATCAATAGTGAGCTGAGAGATTCTTTGTTCGAGTATCCTTCATATTCTAAAGCTAAGGAAGGATCAGATTTTACTGGAATCTGGTCGAAAGCCATGGAAATGGAGAGCTCAGGTCCGAAAGGAGCCAAGAAGAAATTGCCAATCTATGAAGTTCTTGCCAGATCTAAGCCTGTGATGGAGTCTCCTCTGAAGAGATCTGGAAATTTGATTGTAAGAAATCTGAGTAAGTCTCCTCACTCAATCTCATGGGCGGATGAATCTGAATCTGAATCTGATTTGATTCCCGTGTCTGAATTAGTTAAGAACTCTGCTCTTAACTCAGTTCAAGCTGAATCTGAATCTGATTTGATTCATGTGTCTGAATTAGTTAAGAATTCTGCTCTTAACTCATCTATGTTTGCGTCGAAAATTGTTGTATTCATTGCAGTATTCATTACAACTTCAGTCGTTACAATAAAAACAAAAAAGATAGTCTTTTTATAAGACTCTTACACAATAAAAGAAATAAAAGATTATAACTTTCGTCAAAACAAATGCAGAGAAATCGTTTATCGGTCTTCTGCTTGCGTGGGATCTTTGCCTGTACCGGGGTTTATCCGTGGACGACCGTCAATCAGATCTGGTTGTTTGAAAATTCGGCAGAGCTTCGTCTTCGCCGAGGAAGTTTTTGATTTGAAGCGCTGAGATCGACCAAGCGAAATCAGGGCTCTTCTCGAGATCAAGAACAAGCCTGATCTCAAGGGATGGAGGAAACGTGCTTCGGATCTCTCGAACTCTCCTTCTTTATGCTGAAGAACTCGCCAAGATCGATCTGTCTACCCTCGCTGAAATTCGTGCTCCTTTGACTCCTCAATCCGGCAGCACCTCATCCTCTTGATAATAACTCTGGCACATGCAAAGATCACAAGCAAGCAGAAGACCGATAAACGATCTCTCTGCGTTTGTTTTGACGAAAGTTGTAATCTTTTATTTCTTTCATTGTGTAAGAGTCTTATAAAAAGACTATCTTTTTTGTTTTTATTGTAACGACTGAAGTTGTAATGAATACCGCAATGAATACAATAATTTTCGAAGCAAACAATCTAATGTTCAATCTGAATCTGAATCTGGACTGGTTTCTGCGGCTAAGAGTTCTGTTCTTAATTCAAATATTCAGTTTGTTGATAAGATTGATGATCGTGTGAATTGTACTCACATTGATGAAATCTTTAATGAACCTGAGAAAATAGCTCATGAGGAGGATAAAACAAAGGAAATCGATACTGCAGGGATCAAGAAATATTTTGTTAGTCTGTTTGTAGATAATCGGAAAGCTGGAAATGGCCTTTCTTTGAATTTTGTTCAATCTTCTCATAATAACACTGTCAAATTTTCGAATGAAGAGTGGAAGGAATGAGAGGTTTTCTGGAAACATGCTTTGATTGGATATGTTATTGGCTTAAATGTAAAGTTTAAAGTAATGGAATCTTATGTGAATAAGATTTGGGGAAGCATCTCTATCCCAAGAGTTCATCTAATCAAACAAGGTGTTTTCCTGTTTGATTTTCACTCTATAAAACAAATGCAAGAAGATTTGGAAGTAGGTCCTTGGTTCTTTGGATCTAGACCTATGGTTCTTAAACAATGGACTATTGAAACTGATATGGACAAATTTCAAGCTTGCAACTACCCAATGTGGGTTCAATTTCCCAATCTGAAGTTAAATCTGTGGACTTCAAATGGACTAAGTAAGATTGCAAGTGTAATTGGTAAACCAATCACAACCGATAAGCTCACTGCTACAAGGGAAAGATTGAGCTACGCAAGGGTTCTTCTTGAAGTTGATCTTCCCCTGAAAAAGAATTTGCCTGATTTCATTGAAGTACAGGGACCAGATGAAAAAAGCTACAATCAAAAGGTTGTGTATGAACTCAAGCCAAAAAGGTACTCTTACTGTAACTTGGTTGGTCATGAAGCAGAGTATTGCAGAAGACAAAAATTTAAAATGAAGTGGATGCCTGTCAATAGACAGAAAGGTCCTGTGCAGGTTTCAAATTCTGAGAATGCTGTGCATAAAGCAATGTTGAAATAGGTGACAATACTGGTCAGCTTGGGAAAGATTTACAAAGCAACCAGTCTGGAGATTATGTGTTTGTTCATAAAAACATAGTACATCAAGGTGGCATCAATATTGATCAATCTGGGCAAATGTCTGAAAAACATCCACAGGGAGAAAATGCTAATAAATCTGGGAAAAATTCTGCACTTCTAAATCAATATGATGATGGTCCCTTACCATTTCAAAGAGCTCACCAATCAGATAGGGGTATCCTCATTGGGCATTCCAGTAATAATGTCACAGAATCTGATAAACATGCACATTAATATGCAGGAAACAGTAATGCTATAAACTGCTCTTCTGTTGTAAATTCAACTGGTTTCACAAGTGTTACTAGACCAAGAGCAGGAAAAAGAATCAATGACACCAATGTTGGGGGTTCTTGCATTCAAAACTCCCCATTTTCTATTCTGCAGCAACAATTAGACTTTGATCCCTCTTGGATTGATAAAGGGGGTTATTCTAAATAATGCATCTGGCAATTTGGAATATTAGAGGGTTTAACAAATCCTCTAAGCACTTGACAGTCAAGCATTTTATAAATGAATATAAACTCTCTTTCCTAGCTCTCCTAGAGACCAAAGTTGAGGGAAACAAAATGCAATCCATTGCTAAGAAAGTGACAAAAAACTGGAAGTGGATTTCTAACATTCCTGAAGCAAGAAATGGAAGGATTTGGATTTTCTGGGACAATGAAACTCTATCAGTTCAAGTTTAGTTTTCCTCCAAGCAGCACATCGCATGCACTGTTGTCTCAAGGGATGGTAAGCTTTCTTGCATAATCACAGTAGTGTATGCTTTAAACCAAATGGATGATAGAAAAATACTATGGCAAGAATTACTGAATTTTAACCAAAATAGCCCTTGGTTGGTTGGGGGTGACTTCAATGCTATATTGAATAATGAAGAGAAATTGGGTGGTGCACCAGTATCTGACACAGATACCATTGATTTTCAAAACTTTTTTAGTTTTAGTAATTTAGTACATCTTAAAGCAATTGGTAATTTCTATACCTGGTGCAATAAACAAGATGCTCAAGATAGAATCTGGTCCAGACTTGATAGAGTCTTGGTGAATGAAGATTGGATACATCAATACACATCTAGTCCAGTAGAGTTCTTAATGCCAAGTTGTTCTGACCATTCCCCTGCATTGATTACTATTGGAGAGGATAAGTTTGATGGTAAAAGGCCTTTTAGATTCTTCAATATGCGGATCAAGCACCCTAAATTTCTTCCACCTGTCAAATCTGTTTGGGAGCAAAATATTAGTGGATATAACATGTATAAATTTCATACCAAGCTCAAGTTCTTAAAGCCTGTTCTAAAAGAGCTTAATAAGAAGCATTTTATGAACATCAGTGAGCAAGTTATTAGAGCCAAAGATGAATTATCTGACATTCAGAAACAAATGGCTGCTGATCTTCTCAACTCAAACCTAATTGCCAAGGAAAAAGAAGGTATTAAAAAATACATCAGATTGCTGAATTGTGAATATTCATTTTACAAGCAAAAGACAAATATTTCTTGGAGCTTACATGGTGATAAATGCACTCAGTTCTTCCACTCTTTCATGAAAAACAAAAGGCATCGTAACAGGGTACTGTCAATATACACTGAGGATGGAAAAAGAATTACTGATATGCCTAGCATCATTGAGGAGTTCACTGACTATTACAAGAAGATTTTGGGTACTGCTATCACTGTTACAAACCCTGATCATCATTGAGGAGTTCACTGACTATTACAAGAAGATTTTGGGTACTGCTATCACTGTTACAAACCCTGATATGGGAGTTATCTCTAATTGACTATTACAAGAAGATTTTGGGTACTGCTATCACTGTTACAAACCCTGATATGGGAGTTATCTCTAATGGTCCTGCTCTATCTCCAGTTCAAAGTTCAAATCTCAGTCTTCCTGTCAGCAGAGAGGAAATCAAACATGTTGTATTCTCAATGTCTGAAACAAAAGCTCTAGGTCCAGATGGATTCAATGCTGCATTTTTCAAATCAGCTTGGGACATTATCAATGATGATCTATATCTTGCTGTGGAGGAATTCTTCAATACGGGAAAGCTTCTTGGTACTTTTAACTCTACTACTATTACTCTTATTCCCAAAATTCTTAACCCAAGAACTGCTTCAGATTTCCATCCCATCTCTTGTTGCAATCTGATATATAAAGTCATATCAAAAATTTTAGCAGGGAGAGTGCAAAGTGTCATGGGCTATCTTATTAATAATGCACAAAGTGCATTTGTCAAGGGGAGACTTATCTCTAGTAATATTCTTTTAGCTCATGAACTAATGAAAATTTATGGTAGAAAACATACTTTTCCTAGAGCTATGTTAAATGTGGACCAGAGGAAGGCATTTGACTCTATTAGCTGAGATTTCATCAAAGCTATGTTGTAGGGGTTAAACTTTCCTAGTATCATGATTAACTGGATTATGGAATGCATATCAACTCCTAAGTACTCTCTTGCTTTAAATGGATCTTTGCATGGATATTTTAAAGGTAAGAGGGGTATAAGACAAGGAGATCCTCTTTCTCCTTATTTGTTTGTTATTGGGATGAAATATCTCTCAAGGAGATTAAATGCTCTTAGAAATGATAAACTCTTCAAGTATCATCCTAAGTGTCAAAGCCTAGGGATTACACACTTGATATTTGCGGATGACCTTCTCCTCTTTGCTAAAGCTGATGGATACTCAATCATGAAACTGTTGGGTGTCTGGATTAGAGGCTAATCTTGCCAAATGCTCAATATACTTCAGTGGAGTTGTTGATGGTCTGAAAAATCAAGTTTGTTCCTTGTTGAAATTCCCTGAGGGGATGTTGCCAATTCGTTATCTGGAATTGCCACTTATATCAAGAGATTACCTTACCTTGATTGCTCTCCTCTAATAAGTAAAATTTGTGAGCAATTCCTTCACTGACAAAAAAGGAGGTGCCTCTCTTATGCGGGGAGACTAAAACTAATCAAATCTGTTATTATGGGTATTCAAATATTTTGGACCAGTAATTTTATCTTACCTGTCAAGGTGCTGGAGAAAATTGATGGAATGTGCTTAGATTTTGAATCACAAAGTTCATCAAGTATCTTGGGAGAGTATATGTCGAGGGAAAAAACAGGGGGGACTAGGCTTGTATTCAGCTAAATCCTGGAATCATGCAGCTGCTATAAAATTGCTTTGGATGATCCATCAGAAAAAAGACATGCTTTGGATAAAATGGGTCCATGAAAACTATATCTATCAAACTGATATTTGGCATATTCAACCTAGAACATCAGATTCCTGGATGTGGAGACAACTTTTGAAAGTCAGAGACATGGCGAAGAACAAATTTGGAAATGCAAGCAATCTCATAAGTATCATTAATAGCTGTCATAGTGGGGGTAAATTCCAAATCTCCTCTGTCTATAATGCTTTGAATAACTATTCCCTTCCTGTTCCGTGGTATAATACTGTCTGGGAAAGATTAAATTCCCCAAAGCATTCTTTTGTGCTTTGGCTTGCCTCTCATTCCAGATTATTAACGCAAGATAGGCTATGCAAAATGAGAATTATAAACTCAAACCAATGTGTTCTATGTTCTGATCATCACCAAGCTGAAGAAACATGTTAACATCTTTTCTTCGATTGTCCATACTCAGCTCAGGTATAGAATAGTGTAATAGACTGGCTGAACTTTTCCTGGAGATCCTGTAACTGGGTGCATCTGTTTCATTGGTATAATAACAAACTGAGGGGAAATGGTTTTAAGAAGAAGCTTAAGAGGATGGTCCTTGCTGTGACAGTATACTTAGTATGGCAAGAGAGGAATTTAAGAATTTTCCAAGGCAAAGCACGTGAACCAGCTATCCTTTTCCGAGTAATCAAGATCACTGTCTTTACAAAAGTTTTGAATGATGATACACTGAAATATGTTTGAAAGAGATTTGAGAGGTACAAAGTTGTAATTAGTTTGGTTTTCCAGACAGATTTAGTTGGATATTTTTGATGTACTTACATTCTTTCAATGGTTGATGGATAAAGTTCCTCTGTAGCCATTGTTCTGCATGAAGTTATCAAACTTCTTATACCACTGTCTCGAAGCCAGTTTCAAACCATATAAGCTCTTCTTGAGCTTGCACACCATCTCTTCCTTTCCTTCTTCAATGAGGCCAACAGACTGCTTCATGTAGATTTCTTCATCCAAGTCATCATGAAGAAAGTCAGTCTTCACATCTAACTGCTCAAGAAAGATGTCTTCTGCAGCCACCAAACTCAACACTACTTGAATCTCTTGCTTTCATCACTCTCCTGCTTGATCCGATAGACCCATTTGTTATGTAAAGCTTTCTTCTGTGCAGGTAGCTGGGCTAACTCCCATGTCTTATTAGTGAGTAGAGAATCCATCTCCTCCTGCATAGCATGCTCCTACTGCTGAGATTCACTCACTTGCATTACCTCTTCATAGCACTCCGGCTTACTGCTATCTGTCAATAATAGGTAGTCAAGAGATGAAATATATCTGAGATTTGGTTTGGATACCCTGGATGACCTCCAAAGCTTCATGCCCTGGGTAGTTTCTTTTGCATCTTGAGCCTTCTCCATTCTCTGATCAGAACAAACATCATCACCCCTATCTGGAAGTTCCTCTAAATCCATGAACTCGGATCCACCTGCATCCGTAGTGCTGCTCCCACTACTTTGGCTATCCTTGGTATTTTCCTTGTTCTTATACATCACATCCTCATTGAATATCACGTCCCTGCTTCTGATGATCTTCATGTTCTTCTCATCCCAAAGGTGATACTCGAACTCATCAATGCCGTATCCAATGAATGTGTACTTCTGTGACTTAGCTGCTAGCTTGTCTCTGACATGGTCACTGATATGAACATAAGCCACACAACCAAATACCCGCAAGTGTGAGAGATTTATCTTCTTTCCACTCCAAACCTCCTCTGGAATCCTAAAATCCAATGGAACTGATGGCCCGTGATTAATAAGGTAAGCTGCCGTATGCACCGCATCCGCCCAAAATGTCTTAGACAGACCTGCATGTAATCGCATGCTCCTGGAACGCTCTGTCAAGGTCCTGTTCATCCTCTCCGTAATGCTGTTATGCTGCGGCGTCCCTGGAGTAGTCCTCTCTAAGCGAATACCATTCGTAGCACAGAACCTCTTGAACTCCTCCAGCTCGTATTCTCCACCATTGTCTGATCTCAGACATTTCACCTTTAGATCTGTCTCGTTCTCTACTATGGCCTTTCACTTCTAGAAGATTCCAAACACCTCTGACTTGTGCTTCATGAAGTAGATCCACACCTTCCTCGAGTGATCGTCGATGAAGGTGACATAATATCTCGAACCGCCAAAAGAAGACACACTGGCTTGACCCCCATACATCTGTATGAATCAACTCTAGCTTCTAAGCCTTAGGTGGCCTTCCACCCTTCTAAAAACTAACCCTCTTCTGCTTCCCAAAGATGCAGTCTTCACAAACCCCGACTTCCACGGTGTCGATCCCGGTTAGCTTTCCTTGTGAATGTAAAATATTCATCCCCTTCTCGCTCATGTGCCCTAGCCTGTTGTGCCACAGATCTGTACTCTCTTTGCCAGCTGCAATAGCGAGGGTGTCACTCGCATGTAAGGTGAGGTAGAGAGTTCCTAACTTGTTGCCTCGAGTGACACCCGCATGAATCCGCTGTGAATGTTGAAACATAGCCTTCTGCTCCAAGTTGTCCCACCGAAACAAGATTTTTCTTTAGCTTTGGTACGTGTCTCACGTTCTTCAAGGTCCACTTAGAGCCCTTCATCTGAATCTGCACTTCACCCTTTCCAACAATATTACAGGGCTCGTTATTCCCCAAATATACTTTTTCAAAGTCCCCTGCTACATAATTTTGAAAGAGTTTCCTGGTAGCAGTGGCGTGGAAAGAAGCTCCTGAATCGATGATTCAAGAATCCGAATCACTGTCCATAGCAAGGATCAAGGCATCTTGCACGATATAAGCCTCCTGCTCACCCGCATCCTTCTTTGGACTTTTGCAGACTGAAGACATATGACCCTCCTGACCGCAGTTCCAACATTTCCCTTTGATAGGCCTAACCTTCGAGTTTGGCCTCTTCTTCACTGATTTCGACCAATTCCTGTTCTGGTTTCCTTTCTTCTGGCTTCTACCTCTCTGCTCGAAGTTTAGAGCTGAACCTGAACCTTCTGATTTGGACGATTTCCTTCTAACCTCCTCGGATAGAATCATGCTAACAACCTCACTCAGCTTTAACTTCTCCTTTCCTGCCGAATTGCTGATTGCCGTCACACAACCTGCCCAACTATCCGGCAACTGCGATAGAATCAATAGGGCTTGCACTTCGTCATCAAACGTGATGTCCACGGAGATAAGCTGATCAACAATCGTGTTGAACTCGCTGAGGTGCATCGTGAAGGACCGTCCTTCTGCCATCATGAGGTTGAAAAGAGTTTTGACGAGATGCACCTTGTTTGCTGCCGACGGTTGCTCGTACATCTTCGCGAAGGTTGAAAAGAGTTTTGACGAGATGCACCTTGTTTGCTGCCGACGGTTGCTCGTACATCTTCGCGAGCACTTCCATAAGCCCTACCGTCGTCTTCTCCTTCAAAATATTGTGGGCTACTGATTTGACGAGCGACAAACGGATTTGCCCTAGAGCCTTCCTATCCAGTATCTCCCAATCATCATCTGACTCCTCCTT